GTGTGTGTGCGTGTGTGTGTGTGTGTGTGTGAAGTGTCTCCCTCACTCTCTTTAATCTCATTTCACTTCCATTTTCGTTATCTTCTCTCCACCTCGCTGCCCTGCGCGCTCTTCCTTTCTACCTCGCTCGCGTTCTCCACATCTCAATATCTCATTCGCCCCCACACACTCAGACTCGTAGGCACACCATCCAACACTCTCCCATTGACTCGTCATCTCGTTTTAGATTCTCGTTACGCATTACTGCCTTATCTCGCACTGAGTTTCTTCTCTTCTCTCTCTTCCTCTCTCTCTCTCTCTTCTCTCTCTTTCTCATCTCTCTTCTCTCTTTCTCTCTCTCTCATTCGCTCTATTTCACACCCCCCCTTTCCTTCTTCCCGGCCCCCTCCCCCTTCTCACTGTGTCGCCCCGACGCTGATAGATTTTTAGCGGAATGATGACGTCTGTTAGTCCCACTGCCGACGACCGACTGACCGCAGGTGACAGCAAAAGCGCGCATGTGCATGAGCGCGAGCATACCGTTCAAGCGCCTTTCGGTACCGGCGCGAATTCGTCGCGTCCGAATTCGACGGCGCGCCGAAAGATTACGACGCCGCGCGTGACAAAGCGGCTAGTGTCACAATGACGACGATGACGACGTGGTTAGCGCGTACTCGCCGCGGCTGACGTAAGCTGACTGATACACACGCCGCTCACGTCGCGCGCGTCGGCGAGTTAGATGAGCGGTTATTGCTTCCCTCCGCCGCCGGTTCTCCGGCGGAATTCAAAATGCAAGCAATTTACGGTTGTTGGAAGCACTAGTAGTATAAAGTGCGATGAAAAACGTATACCGCGGGCTGAACGCAGACATGTCACTCCGATCGTAGGTTTGTTGGCACTTTGCCAGAACCTCCCCCCCCCCGCGCGCGCGGTAGGCTTTGATGACATGATGCGCTTTATGATGCAGCTACCTTTTCGTCGCATGGCATTCGATATGCCGCCTGCTTTTCAATCACACATTCCATTCAGGAAGTCTATTAGTAGAGGATTTCATTCTATATGTGCCCACCTGATTTCTTTTGACTCGGTTTCGCTGACATCACTCAGTAAGTAGCCAGTACGCACGTTCGTCACCTCCCATGGCGAAAAATTAAAACGGACAATAGAAACGCGTTGATGATATATTAATTGATAATATATAATATATTAATATTATAATTATTTAATATATTGATATATAATATATATATATATTGATTGATGAAACGCGTTAATATCATTATTATTGCACAGCGAGAGGACAATAGTAGCAGCTTCCTAGAATAATACCCAATTAAAGTATAGTTCAGATGAATGAGGACAGCTAGATGTGCAAAAGCATGAATAGACGTTTTAGCTTTGAATGCAACTACGATTAAGGTACCAAACGTAATCATCTGGAACACCTGCGCATGATAGGAAGCCTTGAAGAGTACCAGGGGCCCGTTGCCAGAAACTTCGTAAAGTTACGATTAATTTTAAGTCTAATGTTAATGTTAAGGTTAATTTTAATAGCGTTGCCAGAAACCACTTAAACTAAACTTACTTAAGTGAAAACTTACGATAACAGGAACTTCATCACAAGGCTGCTGATTGGATGGGAATCGATCACAAAATTCAAATTCATACACATTTATTGTACATCACAGTAATTTATGCATATTATGATGGCTAAACACATATAAATAATATTTGATGAAATATTACGTGGTCATGAATTAATTCTGCACAACAAGACAAATTCTCACACTGTAACACGAGACGCGAGAATCGTGGCAAGCGTTGCAAACCTTTGAAACAAGAGAACAAATGCCATACGTCATTTATAAATGTATTGTTTTGTTTTATTAGCGGTAGATAATTAATGATTTTGACGTGTTTTTCAAGAAAAACACACATTGTATTCATTATTATAAAATATAATATCACTATAATTGTAATTCGTGGTGTAAATGTGTTATTTTCAACTTAATATTAAAGTTAAGGGAGGGTCTAGGATCTCTTAAGTTAAGAGAAAAGTTACGAGAATTTTTTATTCTCTTAACTTTACGAAGTTTCTGGCAACGCTTTAAGAGAAAAACTTAAGTTTAAGGTTAATGTTAAGACTAATTTTTTTCTGGCAACGGGCCCCAGGTAATTAACTCCATAAGCACGCGCGCATATCTATAGACCGGCAGCACTTACAAGTCGTTAGTTAGTTGAACGTTGTCGCCAAAGTCGTAGAACCGATTCGCGAGGGAAACGAGGCCTAATCCAGCGTCCCTGCTTGAGACGCTCCCATGCAGCACCGTTTTGTTCTTACTCTGCCAATGTACCTGATAGGCCTCGTGCGTATATATATTATGTTAAGCGGGTCACCGAATTTCCTTTTCGCACAAGCATATCTGCGTGATTTCCCCTGTCGCAGATGTACCACGGTGTGCTTGTCTCCGATTAGTCTCAGCATATTATGTGCATGCATGAGGCTATCTATCGCCGGCACTTCGATCAGTTTTTGCTTGTCCCCAACTAGTCTAGGCGTATCTGTACAAGCACGGTTATCTTACATGTCCCTCTGGACTATGTCCTTGGTCTGCGTCGTTGACTTCAAAGCGGTCTCAGTTTATATGTCGTAAATTTTTTTACATGTCACTGTTCTGTGGGAGCATCTGTGTGTCAGACTAGTGTTAGCATGTCAGCTTCATACTGGGGTCAGTATACTAGCCTCTGTTGAGTCTCAGTATTCCTGTCACGGAATTGTCTCTGCACGCCGGTCTAAGAATTAACAGCGTAATTTCTTCACACAGACCTCAGCACGAGGTAAATGTATCATGTGTGGTAGAGATGGTACTTGTGAAAGGACTACTCATGAACGCCACTTCCTAACTCATTTCTCAACTGAGCTACAATGACAGTGTTGGGCTTTCAATGGCATTTAGTCACCTAAACGCCGGTATTCAAAGCAAACTACTGTGAAATTACTCATTTAGCGTATTTAAGATTCAATTTGTGGCATTGTATGCGCAAGCCCAAATAGCGAACGGGCCTTAAACAGTATCGCCCCAGGATAAAACTATAGAGATACAATTTTGAACATCTACAGCCCTATTCAGTTGGTAGTTAAAAACTAGCGTGTTCTAGTTCGAAAAATATAAACCGAAAACTAATTATCTTACACAGACTCATAAAGCAGTTCTATACGGCGTGGTAAACAATGGTGGAGGTAGAGGCGTTGGCAGCGGCAAGAGCAGCAATGCGAATGGCAAGGGCAGTGTTAGTGTCAATGATAGTAGGGCTGGATCGCTATAGTCTCGTTATGGAGATCTACATAATTAATCGGACGCTCATCAGCATTAACTACGATAGTAGCAGTAGATGTAGTAGTGCGCACACTCGGAATCAATACTTTTGAGATAAAGACGCTATTAACGAATCTTAACGACCTGTACATCCAACGCCCTTCCATTTATTTTCGTCGAAAAGTATCCGTGTTTATCCATTTGTTTACTAAAATAATTCTTACATATACGTGGATAATTTAAATACATTTGGTTGCTCAGAGCAACTGTGGAAATATTAATAAATAATCTTGATTAATGTTTCTATTAAATTTCAAGTATATTTATATGATCATTCCGCTTGTTGCCACGTACAGTATGTATAGGGCACGGATAAATACTGTAGAGACTCCCTACAATATTATATATATATATATGATTTGTGTGATGACACATAAGGTGACACACGACACTTTATTGGCCAGAAGACGTTTCCGCCCAGCGGGCCAGTGTCCACCCAGCGGGAATATTAAGCTGTCAAAAAGCTCGAGGCCACTGTCAGGTATTATCTATGATAATCTCTCTCCTAAAGCTTTTAGGCTAAATATAAATATATATTTAACTGTCGCCGTGCACAGCACACGACCCCTGCGTATATATTTTATTGAAACGCTTCAAGTGCCTGTGGCTAGAATGTATTTACGTGTCACACGAGCTAGCTGGTCAGTAGGTGCGCGGAGGCGTAATGAAAGCTATACGACGCGCCATTGTTGTCTGAAACAAGGCTAATCTCACGGCAAATTCGCTAATAATGCAGGCGGGAGAAGCCTAAAAGCTTTAACGGTCCCTGCTCGCACTCCTTGTGGAAATACCCGCGCGCAGGTTGTGGCGAAAGGCTTAGGTTTGGGGGCAGGCGTGACCTTCACATAACCTTGCGGTACCCCCGACCTAAGTTCGCGTGTTTAAAGACGTTACAAAATAAACGTTATAAATATCTACCAAAAATGATTTTTGAAATTTATTAAATCCGCTGGGAACGGATGTGCACGAAAACAAAAACGGTAGATCAGCTTCCATAGAAACAATAGATATCGTTAAAAAACATTGTCAGATGAATTTCACAGGTGAGCACTACGATAGTGAAAAAAAACACTGAAAATATTATTCAAAGCTCAGAGAAAATCCTCGGTTACTGTGGCAGCGATGGACAGAGCAGAACTATAGACTACAAAAGCTATATGCAAGCGAACGAAAGAGGAAAGCACTTAATTATTTTCTTTTGTTGGCATTTCCAAATGCCGACTCTTTCGGTGACTGAATGGGAATGGGTTGGTGTGTGTAACTTTCTCGTAATGTTTGCGGAAATGACAATAAAAAGGACGAATGAAAAACAAATGGGAACGAGCATGGTTCAAGAATGATTTTCTATCAAGAATAAGTAATTATAGAAATCGCAATTCGAGAATGGTGATTGTGAGGAATAGTTCCTAACAAGGGAAAGAGCTACGTGACAGAATCAAATACTGCAACTAGCAATAAAATCGGAAATTAATAATCAGTATCCTGTCTTGATCGCTATCTTTGAATATGCTGCGTATAGTAGTGAGGGCAGACTATGCAAACTAGGTGCGACTAGCGCAGAAAAATAGCAAAGGGACTAATATAACATTTACATTTCCGTGAAAAATGGCGTCGTTTGTAGAATAAACAATGACAGTCAATCAATTCAGGTCTTATCAAAACTTGCAGGTTTTATTCATTCTTACAGTACGTTCTGTTAACTGGCTTCTTAACTAGAAAGTACAAGTTTGTGGAATTTACATAATCGATTATTGTCCATAGCAAACAACTGGTTAATTAAATCAATGTGCCCATAACTCAACGACTGTCCAATTAACAACTCATGAACGCAACGTTTACATAAATTATCGTTTATAAACAAAATATTCACAGGTTTTGAGAAAAATATATGGAATATTAATTTTAATAACGCACCAAAATGCACATTTATTAAGTGTCTAATACCAAAACCTCGAAAACATGTCTGGAATGGCACTAAAAACATGTTATCAATGCATTAATCTTGAAGTATCTTCATAAATATAAATAGACAGCATGGCTAAGCAATGTGATTTTTTAATTTCTATACCATTCTCCTAACACGAAATAAATCCAGAAAGAAAATTCCTCTTACAATCAAATTTGATTTATACAATTTACTGTCCAATAAATGAGTTTATAACTCGTCCTATCTTGGTTGTGTATTTAGTATGTTGTTTTCAAACAGAACTAAACTGCAATGCATCAATAACCGGTCAGTATACAGCTACAGCTACGAGTAATAGCATTGTGAGAGATAAAAATGCAGCGATGCTCTGATATAAATTCAGCGATGCACTTCAGAGAAAGTGAATCATTTCTCGTCTTTCAGCTGATCCACGTGGCGCGAGCAGGAAAACGCCATCGTTCTATAATGCCACGGCAGACCGATGCAGTGATAACGTAGCTTTAACAAGCACGCGCAAACATGCGCACACGCGAACAGTTCCCCTAAGCTACTATGACAGCAATTATATGTACCACGCAGCCAAAGGATAAGTGAATCGAGGGTATCATTAATATCTCGGTCTAATAAGGTCACCCGTCACCAATAGGAAGTCAGAATCCTCGAGATCTCTCAGACCGTCGTCATACATAAGCCTTGTCACCGGCTGAAAAGAAAGTATAGAGGGTTAGACGCTAATGGAAAAGTCGTGTATGCACAGTATATATAGGGTCAGGTTACAGTTGATCGATGAGATGTTGCGAATATCGTTCTAATTATAATCACACTCTCGGCGTCTATCAACATCAACACTGCTGTTGCCGTGATGATGAAAATGATGATGATGATGATCATCATCGTCATCACCATCGGCATCATCACGATCACCATCATCAACATCAGCAGCATTGTTCATCATCTTATTAGTGTTTATTGTAACTAAGTAAATAAAAATAAACTCCACGTTAAAAAAAAGATTCCACATTCGTCGTGTTCAACAACGACTGAAGGGTAACTGTATTTAAACCAGAACGTATGCATGAGATTTGAGAAAATTAAGAATTCCAATCACTATAAACTTTTTAACTTCGCAGAGGTCGTTGCTGCTCACCAAAGTCCGAATCAAACCAAAAATATGTAAGCGACAGACACTACCTCAATACCCAAGGCACACCATACTCCCTGAAAAAAACTACCGGATACATTTCGACCTTCAAGCCCCATAGGTAGCGTTCCATTACGTATCGCTGTGTTCTTGCTATGCGCGTTTCACTGTTTACTCGTCTACTGCTCTCTGCTTACCATCGCTCAAATGTCTTTACCTTCTAAATTAGGTACACTGATAATGTGATATCAACCTAAATATGCTCCCTATAGACAACATTATTTAGGACTAAAATAGAAGCACTGCAGGGGAATGGGAACATGACAGGATAACAACATTAATAGAGCTAAGTGAAGTATTAAAAATTACTACTCATATTTGCAGTTCGCGGAAAGTGATATGGGGTTGGGTTATATGTTGGGTTATAATTCCTCACAGAAAGCAAAAAACCTAACTGACAGCAGTGTGAAAAAACAGCTAAAAAGTGTAACAGGATCAGAGAATAACTACAATGTTTACCGAAATATATGTGGTAATACCTAAAAAAGAGCTCGTCATTTTTCTACACTGGTGCCAGATCTAATGTTAACGTTAGGGGAAGAATCAATAATAACCACCCCTGTCAGGAAAAGTACCATTTAGTTCACCAGTCTCTGTTGTTATAAAAGGCAACCACCATTATATCAACATTAGTCGTGTCCTCTATGTTTGCAGACGCACACTTAGTAAATGAAACAAAATAATCTCTTGCTACCTGCGTTGTTAGGAGCAAAGCAAACAGTTTGAGTGGGGAGTCGATGACCTTCTGTGCAATGCTTTTATACCGGCACTAGCACAAGGTCACAGCAGTTACTTGATCGCAAATTTATCCACTGACGAGAAAAAAAATCACAAGTGTAAAAGCAGTCATTTTGCAGTAGTTACCTCCGCCAGGGGCTTGGCGGGGGTTATGTTTTCACCGGCGTGTGTTTGAGTGTTGGTTTGTGTGTTTGTGGGTTTGTTAACATGCACGTTTCAGTTCACTTCTGCTAGGTGCGCTGGCTGTAGACTTAAAAATACGCAACCACAGGCTAAGGGGCAACCACAGTCCTCCCCCACCTGCACGCTCGCACTAATCCGGATCCAATTAATTATTTAATTAATTAATTAATTTGTCCACTTAATTAATTAATTAATTAATAAAAAATTCCACATTGAGAGAATTCAGCTGCCTTGGCGGAGGTCTGTGCTCTCCGAGTGCTCTAGTTTTTATATATTATGGGCTCGGGGATTTAATTCATGGGTCTATAAAATGATCAACCAGTCACATGTTTTCACTAGTTACACAAAGCTAATGGCTGAACCACTGCATAAAAGAAACAACATTACCGTTCACACATCTGCACCACACATATATATATATACGTGTTGCATCAACATACATAATCCAACCAAACTTGCATTAAAACATTAGCAGACAGACGCCCTGCTGTAAGGTACGCGCTGCCGGTAATTATGTCTGGGAGTTTGTGACTGAAACGTGGGCCATTAGCACCAGGGAGCCCTTCCGACCTCAACTTGTACAGTATGATTTAGCTGTTAGGATGACCTATCTGCGTTTCTGTTGTTAGTCGCTCAGCATATCTCATCGATGAAAAATAGCAATGTCATGCATAGAGACTCAAAAGTATCATAATTATACATGTACACATTACACGCCTGCATAGACATGCACATACACGCGACCACATGCAGGTGTACACAAGGACATGTACAGCAGAGATGCGGATGCAGACACGCACGCATGCACGCATGCACGCACACACGTATGCACTCACTCATTCATTCACTCACGCACGCACACAACCAAGAGCACGAACGAACGGAGTGACAAACAGTCGCAGGCAAACGCCAGAGGTCACCTTGAAGCATCATCGACGTGCGACCAGCGTCAGCAGCTGGCACTTACCATGTCGGAGCCCTCCCGCAGTTCCTGGAATATCTTCTCCTTGTTCAGCGTCGCCACTTTGCCCTTCTTCTGCACGAGCTGTCGGAGAGCCTGCGCGATCTCCACTTTACGTTTGCGTGCCGCGCTACTCATTCCGGTCGTCAGGATCGAGATGTCGATTTTCCCCGTCGCCGGGTCCGTCGCCGACTGTTTCATCGCCTCTCTGTGCAATCTGTATTAAAAAAATACGGATCGACAGGGGGAAGGTGGAATCCCACGGCGTGCCGATAAATTCGCCCACGTGTGAACACTGTTGCTATGACGAGTTCACTGAAACTGCCCGAAAAACTACACGCAGATTGAATTCGCATAGTAAACACAAAACTATAGGTAGTAACAAAAGTAACCAATGATTAGGGGAGGTGGGGAAAGGAACACACGCACACACGCACGCACACGCACACGCACGCACACACACACGCACACGCACACGCACACACACACAAAGATATATATATACGTATATATATATATATTTATTACTTCTATATATATATATATATATATATATATATATATTATATATACACACATATATATTCAACAGAAACAGTAATGACAGCACGACGATTCTCTTACCGCCTAGCTTCGTTGACATCCTCTATCTCCACGACGTCGGACAGCCGCATCCTAGCGTGAGCCTCTGACAGACGAATCAATGACTCCAGTTGCCGTGGATACGCAGAGATCTGGCCGCGACCACTACCGATCTTCCTCATCTCCACATAGGCCTCGATGAGAGCTTGGCCTGCAACCTCGCTCAACTTGGGGAGCACCCACGTTTTTGCGTAGGCAATGTAATCCCTGAGAATATCCATATCCTAAAGATGAATAAACAAACATTTACATTTAATATAGTATTATAAACTAACCTCGGCTGACCCTAATAATAGAACATATGAACATGTAGATGAACATGGGGCTATAGCTTCCAATATGACCCAATATGCTAAATATTAATAGCCATAATGCCAATTATAAAACACCATCTTATTCTTCTTTTAGATAATGAAAAACAAGAAACAACATTCAGATGCCTTGAGGGTCAAAAGGTCGACAATAACTGCTCATTAACAAGTAAAAAATGGAAAAGACAAGTATTATTTCAATGGGACATCGGTTATACAATAACTAAGAAATCATCTAAAGGCGATCTAGCTGCTTCATTGGGTTACCACACGTAGCTGTAGTGACTAAGACCAGATAATTACTGCGTACCAAGCTCTCCTGCTCCGCCTGCTCGCTGGACCTGTAGTAAAGTGCTACCAGGTGGTGTGCAAGGCGCCGATCATACACCTCATCTTGGGGATCCATCAACAGGAATATCAGATCAAATCTGTCGCAAGCATAGAATAGCAAAAGTGAATAAGCCATTTCTCAGCACAGCATGCTCTCAGAGTATTTTTTTAGAAAATACAAATCAGTTTTGTATGAATATGTCCACTAATGTTTGACCCATAACTTATCAACCTATAATTCTGTGTTTGACCTACATAAAAGTGTGAATTTATCCTACATTAGTACTTTCTGGCAGAACAGAAAATGCTGATAATGATAGCACTACCACAATATAGATATTCCTATTTCATTTTAAGCAGCAACTAATGCAGGGCGTCAAGTGACAAGTGACGCTCAAAAAATAGGAAAATAGGAATTTCAATTTGAAAAAATAGGAGGAAAATAGGAATTTTGATGAGAAAATATATGGTAAATAGGAATATTTCTGGCATTAGATGGCCTTCCAACACCCCTACAGCCATCCCGATCCACCACAAATGGTTTTATTAATATACATATTTGGAGTTATACATCACATGCGAACAATATTTTGAGGTTTTAATGGAAAAATTCAAATGCATGTTAAAATTGATAAGCAGTTTATACATGCATAAGCACCCATACATGTAGACTACTCCAAAATAGTAGTGAAAATAGTGATAATGATTAAAAATAAAGACTAAACATGCACATGATATAAGATTATTCAGAAATTGTGCAATAAATTTTTACTATAAAGCACAAATATGTTAAATAGGAATATGTGTTCATTAGATGGCCTGATGAAGTAAAATCTGTGATAGTAAAGAGTATATTACGTTAATTTAAAGTAAGAGGGTGGAGGTCTGGGGGTCCTCCCCCAGGAAATTTTTGAAAATTGGGTCACCTGAAATGTAAATTCCTGCATTCTGAGAAGTATACATACAATTCTGGATTCAGAAAAATGAAAAGCCCTCAAAAATAGGAAATTGTCCAGAAAATAGGCTAAAATAGGAATTGCCCAGAAAATAGGAAAAAATAGGAAAAAATAGGAACTTGACGCCCTGCTAATGAACCCATCATTAGTTAACTTAAGGACCTAAATATCGCCTGCACGAACATAATTACCGTGGTAGCAGGTGTACTCGTCACGGCTGTCTGTCAAAAGTGGCTAATTAAAATTTCAATCTTGCAAATTGACACACAAAAGCTAGCTAATGAGATCGGCACTGCCTTGTACACGCCATCTCGTTTTCCAGTTGTAATCAGGAAACAGGGCGAAAATCACGTCCTAGCGCTCGTAAATAACGAGTAACTTAGCTGATGCAGAGCACAATTAACTGCAATTGCAACACCGACAGCTATGTGACGACCGGTTTACTGCCCTAATAACATTTTTCACGTTACTATCTACACTAATTTAGGAAAACGTAGTTGCCCAAGAAATGCAAGCGATAGAAAATTCTCAATGTGAAAAATAAATTACATTTATGCAAGGATTCGCAAAACTTAATGCAAACAAACATTTGTAAACAAAATCATGATTTGCCGAGCATACTATAAAAATCCCAATAGGAATTCTGATACATAAACTACAAATTGTAAATAACAAATCATAATCATACACACGAACTAAATGCAAGCATTATTACTAATAACACCAGCAAATTACAACACAATTACTTGGCAGCGATAGTGTCTAAACTTTAACAATGGTCGCACTTAAATGTGTATGCATCATGATGAGATTTTGAGGAAAATTTATAAAGACCTTGCATGTCATTGGATGTATTGCTCCTAATAATAATCAAGGATAGATTTGCCTAGCATCTATAGGCACTATACTATAGGTACTGCTCACCTAGAGAGAAGCGTGTGAGGTAATTGAATGTTCTCAACAATCGTCTTGTTCTTATTCCACTGCGACTCGATAGGGTTGGCAGCTGCCAGCACGGCTGTTCGTGCATTCAGCTGGCAGATGATGCCAGCCTTTGCAATAGAAAGCGTCTGCTGCTCCTGTAACCACGTCAACAATGCTGAAGTGAGATTAACTTTAACAATAACAAGTTATAACCTTGACAAGGTATAAGGTTCTCTTCTAACAAATTCGAGAATGTCGGGCACTCGGGTAACTTATCCCCGATAGCCAATTATAATCAATCATGTATGTCATAAGTGGCTCCTATATTACACAGGTAAACGGTATATCAGTTTGCGGGGCATACGCCACGCTGTGAAAGCAGAGCATGGCTGTGTTGGGATTGTCAAACGCGATTAGATTAGAAAATTAAGGCATGTCAATTAGGCAATTTAAGACATGCCGGACAATTAATAAATTATTTACGTGATGTGGCAAATTATCTTCAACAAACTATGAAGGCATGTCGGATCCCACGTGCATTAAAAGCCTTAGGGAGAACCCTGTGAGCAACATTGTTCCTGTTCTGGCATATCCTCAATGTGTCTAACCAAGCCTTTACCATCGTATATGCACCTCACGTTTATCAATTTCACACCATTTATTGGCAAGATAACGTTGAGGTTAGAGCTAGGCTATGCAATGGCTTCCCCGAGACAAGATTCAACTCGATGGACTCTTTTCAATCACAAATTTCCTTTCTTTCTGATTTGGAATATAGTTTTGGTGACTTTGTGTGCCTACTTCCAATTGAACAGTTCTGAACCTGGCCTGCTGTCATTTCATACACACATGAATTTTTCATTCTTTTTTAAGGTATGCCATAAAAGCAGAGTAATTCCATTGAGGAGGAATTCCAGGTTTATCACCTTGTTTCTACTGCAGCTAGCATGATAATGCCTTTGAGGGGAATACCAGATTTCTCCATTTGTTTCTAGGTAATTGTATTGAGGGGAATCACCACGTAGTACAAATGCTGCATGGGTAATGCCATTTTTTTATTTCCCCAACACACAAATATCAGATTTCCTTTCTCTTTTCTAGCAACAGACGTGTCTGCACTGAAAGAGTGGAAAAATGTTAATTTCTCTGTGTGAAATACTCATTATACGCACCTCACAAAATAAAATAAAAGGTTGTGTTATTAATGGTTGTTTACATAATGTATGTTGTATAATAAATGAACAGAGTAAGATCAGTTACGATAAAACCAAAAAAACATTAATGCTCTAACTTGAGCTTTCAATCACAATTAAGCCTTGTACATTGAAAAATACATCACAATCAAAAATTATTGCTGACACGGCGCCAATTGCTTTGGGAATTTGGGAATATGCGCAGCCCACCTCTACACAAATAGGAGAATAGATCTGGAAAAGATCTGCATCAACTCCCTGTGGATATTAATTGAATGTAGTACTGCCCAATAAACTTGCAACTCAGTTGAGCATCACACGATCCCCCCCCCCCCCCCCCCCAAACCCACGACCTTAGTTTCCTGACGAATTTGCAATGGTCACTGGACAGGAAGATCATCATGCACCACATGCAACCACCGTGCGTGCTGCCACCAACGAACATCTGTACCAGAAAGGACTGTCACCGGACAGAACAGGCAGTTCAGTGATGAACTCACCATGACCTCATGGAGAATGGAACGAGCGCTGTCACTCATCTTGTCAAATTCATCGATGCAGCATACGCCATTGTCAGCGAGCACTAGCGCCCCACTGTGAAAACGAGAAAAAAATCAACATCCCGAGAAATTAAATAAAACCATTCTGCAAACTAACGTAAATTTAATAACAAGGAGAACGTGATTGTGTTACCAGCTTGTCATTTACCGATGATAAGTACGCAGCACACGTTAAAAAAGCTGCCAAGAACCTTGATCCTTTCACGGTGAACTATTTTTTTTTAGATATATACCCACCTACGCACACACACACTAGCACACAAGGGGCTGAAAGCACACAATTTTACTGCAGCAACAACAATCCGCACTCCCCTCTACATCGAAACTTTGATAGAGAGAGTAGACCTTGCTTACGTCTGCAATACGAGCTGCTTGGTCTCTGGATCCTTGGTCACGTAGGCTGTCAAGCCTACAGCACTGGATCCCTTGCCAGACGTGTACTGGGCCCTCGGTACGAGGTTAAAGACATACTGCAGTAGCTGCGACTTGCTAGTGCCTGGATCACCACACAGCAGGATGTTAATCTCGGCCCTGCAGATGAGAAATGGATTCATCTGTCAGACATTCCTTGGGTGCAGGAAATACCAGTAAGCAAGAACGAGAGGATTCTAGGAAGAGATGGAGAAAGAGATGAAATGAGTGAGTGAGTGAGTGAGTGAGTGATTGGGTGAGTGGGTGAGTGAGTGAGTGAGTGAGTGACAAGAGTGAGAGAGAGAGAGAGAGAGAGAGAGAGAGAGAGAGATAGTAGTGTGTGTGTGTGTGTGTGTGTGTGTGTGTGTGTGTGTGAGAAAGAGAGAGAGAGAGAGAGAGAGAGAGAGAGAGAGAGGAGAAGAGAGGAGAGAGGGAGGGAGGGAGGGAGGGAGAAGAGGGAGAGAAGAGAGGGAGAGAGGGAGAGGAGGGAGAAGAGGGAGAGGGAGAGCAGAGAGAGAGAGAGACAGAGAGAGAGAGAAGGGAGGGAGAGAGAGAGAAGAGAGAGAGAGAGAGAGAGAGAGAGAGAGAGAGGAGGGAGGGAGGGAGGGAGGGAGGGAGGGAGGATAGAAGAAGAGAGAGAGAGAGAGAGAGAGACGAGAGAGAAGAGAGAGAGAGAGAGAGCAGAGAGCAGATGAGGGAGAGAGAGAGAGAGAGAGAAGAGCAAGAGAGAGCCGAAGAAAGAGAGAGAGAGAGAGAAGAGAGAGAGAGAGAGAGAAAGAAGAGAGAGAGAGAGAAGAGAGAGAGAGCGAGAGAGATGAGAGAGAGAGAGCAGAGAGAGAGAGACCGGAGGGGAGGGAAGAAGGGATAGGAGATCAGGGGAAAGGAGTAAAGGAGACGAAAGAGCAATATATTTGGGCTCCAGAATACACCAGGAATGATCAATAGAATGATAACTAAAGCCAATTCATTTCACCTATCGCAACCAAACCCACAAAATTATGATCACCGTGAACACAGACAGAGTCAATTTGCAACGTACAAAGGTTCACATGCGTGGAAAAGAATGGACAAAGCAGGCAAAGAATTTAGGAGAATAAATAGTACGAACGACCGCAATAAGCAGTAGGCAACAGCAGCAATGAACCGACTGCAAACAGCAGAAATCACAGAGCAGCAATTTGCAGGCAGCAACAACGCAAAATGTAAGGCAGATAACGAGCAGCGCAGCACTAATCAAAGCCACCACAAGCAACAGCATTAATAGTAGTAAACAACACAATTCAGTGGCAGCAGTACCAATGAGAGTAGGCGCAGGCACAGTAAACACCGGCAGCAACAGTAAGCAGATAGTGTAAGAATAGGAAACCTTCACTTAATCTAAGACCTTTCATACTCACGCTTTCATTCAAGAATGGATTCAAATTTACATCAAATGCAGGGTTCTCGCCTACGGCTGTGCGCAAACGGGCGCGCACGCAGCCCGTTTGGGAAAACTCCCCCTGTTTCAATTCGTTGCGCCCAAGCGTTTAAAAATCACCTCCGCCCCGCATTAATATTCACGCACAATAAAACGTTTGGCCAGCGAGGGAATTCGAGACCCCGTGCAAGATTCCCATTCGACGCAGGACAACCCGGCACCGTGGTAATTTTTACCATGCCACGCATGCACTGCAGACAATACACAAGTACAAACAGTCAACCTGTCGCACACCCAACACTAACTGTACACCGACTCGGCTATCTTATATATACAAGAACCCAAATACCGTCTATGGTTGTGGTGACGATTTTACGCATTAATTAGTGGTACGGTAAAAAAACACGCCTTCCGGACCCCCCCCCCCTGTTTGAATTTCATCCTGGGGAGAACCCTGAAATGCACAGCTATGAATAAACTTCTAAACGTATTTGGCACACGTTCTTAGACTTACCGGAATTGGCTTCGGCCAGCCTGGCTTAGGTCCTTCCTCAATCCACCAAACATCTGCAGCAGGATACCCTTCTTGATGTCCTCATTCTCATAGATGCTAGGAGCTGAGAACAACAGTGACGAATTACGACGCAGCCAACTCAATCACAGCTTACAGCAGGGGTCCCAACGACACAGTCTGCATAGGCATTTCAAGTGGCTTGCAATCGAAGATGTGGGAGGCGAACTGGATCAATGCCAATAACCAACATAATTTCCTCTCTACAATCAGATTATTATAAACAGGACTCTTGGTGGTATGTTTTGAGCTTAAAAATGAAGGCATGCATTATTACAAAAAGACATTTGCCACTGTTCAGCTCCCTATACTAGAATATTAGGCCAGACTACTGTAAGTAGTAGTTTCTACGGTGGGCTATGGAAAACTGGTTTGATTGATTCCGTGTTATCCAAAAACCAAAAATAAATCACCGCACAGCCTCAGCCTAGCCTAAGCCCCATAACCGTACGTGAAGCCTAGGTTTTAGCCACGTGAACCCAATGTTATGTTCTCTAGAGGCGAACGCTGCCTGACCCCCGGATATCGTTATGTGGTCTCCATCATTGGGTATGTCACCCAATGACCCCCTGACGAGCCGTGTAATGAGCTGTGTCAGGCTATGAAAGCAGTGACCGCCCATGTAACATACACACCTAACGCTGCTGCCAGACTTTCATAGTTGCCAGGAGTCCTTGACAATTCCTTCAGCTGCTGCACTCGTTCTTTCGTAAACGTTCTCCCTTTGCTGCAAAACAATTATCAAGACGTTGTTTTACATGTAGCCATGTTTTTCACGCTAGTGTACTTTTATAAAAGATTCGAAATTATACTAATGTGTCAGTAGCAATCAATATCAGGCTGAAGTAACCTGAAAAAGACAGATAATCAGGATCACAAACAATAATTTCATTACAAAATAATTTTAGTCGGTATAGCTTAATGGGACCTATATATATGTATAATGGTTTGCTGTTGCTCCCCACATTACAAACACGACACACTGCATGGAGAAAGGTGTGTGTGGAGACGACCATTTACTGAGATATTGGCCATAGAACCAAGAATGCCTTTCACATTTTCCAAATATTTATTGCATGATATACTGTTTTATAAGAAAAAGTAAAAAAAAACCGTGGATATTTGTATAGGAGCCAAAACGAGCCTGAACAAATTTCATGGAAATTCGTATTTTGCACTAATTGACCATTGACCAACAAAACTATGTAATACAAACATAATATCCCTGTCCCCATGAACCACAGATATAGAGAGGCTAGACAACCCTGGTAATTGGTAAAAAAATCTATATGAAACCAACCAATATGGCAAAAAAGTCCAACCATTAAGGAGATATTTGAAAATAAAGTGAATACTTCTTTAATGTTTTCCCTTAATTTCTCAACTTTGACGAATTGTGTAGCGTTTATTATGAAAAATATTGAAAAATTGTTTTCATATCTGTATTTGAGAAAGGAAAGAAAACATATTTTGTAAAAAATATTAATTTTGCACTAATTGACCTTTGATCTTAATTAGTGACCTAATTAGGCAAATTTGGGAAACACAAACAATTTTTCCATATTCAGCACGAAAATCCGCTCCAGAAAAACCCATTTGTTTGCTTTTCCTCAAAAATGCTTCATGGATCTTAAATAAGCACATTTTTTGATTTCTTGTCTAGACTAATACTTTATGTAACTCCCAAAATCATTATTGTCACCATACTTTCTAGACAAAATTGGCATGGTTTACTAGTATGCATATAAAGAGCGTAATTGCATACATAGCTATATAATAACTAGATGCATCACCATGAGCATATAAACCCTAGGGCCCGGCAACAACAACAATAAATGCAATCGTTAAAATGCCTTTAAAATACTGCGCTAAGTAGCACCACTGAAATTATTACATTTCTATACACGTTATAGCTAATGAAAACAAGTGCCGCAGAGAGACAGCGCTCAACTGACGTGTACTGTAGCCGGGTATTCTTCTGATAAACTCACTGACAACCGAATCAAGTGCGCCCTCCCGCCACCGCGTTCGCGCTCAGAGCATATATATATCTAGGATTCTACTAATACAGATCTCAAATCTATGATAGCTATAGGCCTTGCTATACCGGTAGAACAGTAATAAAGATACAGCTGTGTAACTTTAATGACTTCGCTATATTAACATGTTATCATGGATATGCGTCGAGCGCGAGCGTAGTGGTGGTGGTGGTGGAGGGTGGGGGGAGGGGGCGGGTGGAGGGGGCTCTAATAGCAAAAGCAGTTGCCGCGAGATGGCGCGTGCAAGTGTCATCAATAGTCAAAGATGGCATCACCCTTCGTGCGTGATAACCTCACTCCATTGAGTTGCTGAAATCCAATTAAGTATATTCAGGCAGGCGAGAATTTCGCTCAGCTGCGAGTTAACACATCTGCATTGCAGGTTGCCAGGCAATAATTATGATTAGAATAGTGCCAGTTCACCCCCATGCATGCGTAATGGCTGCCCCCATGTTTTTGCCTACCCAGTACCCACGCGAGCATTCAGGGTTCATTACAGTGTGCTAATACAGGGTGCTACTCAGGGTGCTAGTACAGGCTGCTTTAAAAAATAATATGATTTAAGGAGCGTAAACCTTGTTCAACATACTTTTGCCTTTGCAATTGAACTGTGCAACTGTAGCCTCACATCCACAATAGCAAAAGCAGTTCAGTCCTTTGTTAACAGTCAACAAATCCATGTTTAACCCTCCTCTTGAGGGTCAAAAGGTTATCCGACACTTACTCTTCGCATGTCAGCGAAAAGTACATTTCATGTTCCTTTCAATAAAGCCATAAAAATGGTAGGTCACCGCTGAAACAAAAAAAGTTTTTCAATCGCTCCGTCAGACCATGTCCTCAGAAAATGTCTAAAATCTGCCCTGTGCCCCATTGACCTTTGACCTCCAATTTCGGCACAGTGATGGCTTTTCCTACCATGATGCTATACACCGACTATCACGAGCCTAGGTCGACCCATTTAGATTTGTGCTGCAATTCTGCATTTCCTCCCTATACCCTAAGTTAAGGAGGGAATGTTCCCCCTTCTTTTACACCTCTTGACCTTTGACCTTTGACCCCCAGCTTCAACATACCAACTCGTTTTCGGATTACCCCCCCACGTCCCGAATATCGTGACCGTACGTCGAGCCGTTTAGATTTGTGCCCAATGGTTGACGGACGCACGCACGGCCGGACGGACGCACGCACGCACGCTCATGCGATTCTACAAGCTGCATCTGACTATGTCAGATGAGCTAAAAATATACATTTCTAACTCAATTGCTACACATCTATGCTCTGTACCAGGCATAGCTTTGAACTCAGTTATATTACGGCAGCTGTGTGATCTATCATAAAAGGGGGCAAAAACGCAAGCAACCATTTCTACATTCACTGAACTAAAACCACATCAGGGCAAACATGAAAGCAATTCCGCTCCCGGGGATCACTTTGTGATAATAATCATTTGTAGCCATTTGCCTCTGAAATCAAGCCTCGGTAACAGCCAATGCTTCTGCCGCAGTCGTAAAAGCCTCCCAGCTAGGTTTGCAGATAGGGACAGCGTAGTGGTCGGGAGCACGCTCTCGCAAACACACAGATCTACGCGTGCAAACATGGTTTCCCATCAGGAATAGTGCATAGTGCATCCAGGGGTGTGCAGCAGACAGCAAATGTCTGCAGATGACAAATTAATGCTTGTTCATGGCTACCTACGAGACACCCAGCGCAATCCAGGGAGTAGATAATCAGAACGGCACTAGTAATGCATCGCGACCAAACGTCAGTACAGCTTACTCATTCGCTGTTCATGTTACGCACGGCGACCATTCACATGCGCCTCCGCCAATCATGAAACGGGATAATGAGTTAACTTACTCCTACTAAAATACATGTCAGATGTGCTTTTTAGCAGTAATATGTAATGATCGAAGACCGAGTAAACGCTGAACATGTTTCCTAGCCAATAAATAGAAAGATGACAAAATGCAGTGATGAGAAAGGGTCTAGAGACGAAGCCTCATTGGGGTGGGGGTTCAGGAACGCTATAGATTTTATGAAAACTCGATTACTTTTTTCATTAAAATTAATTATAATAAAAGAATATTTTATTCTTTGTTTCTTTATTCTTACCACTATGTAATGAATCACATTTTCCGACATATGATTGTCGGTATGACATGTATGTGGCCTGCTTTGCTTCCCTCATTTCTTGATAAACTCAATTTAAATGACTTCTCACCTCTAACTATTTATGCATACCTTGCATGTGACCAAGGCACCAAGAGTGATAATATTCATATTTGGGCTGAAATTTGTCTTCGTGACAAAACTTAACATATATTCAGTCTGTATTTGAAATGTTCTCCCATATTTGAAATGTCTATTTTTCTGATAGATGCAACACTGTCATTAGTCAAGGCAACAAACTGACACAGAAACTAATCACTTACCCAGCGTCCTTTGCCTCATGCAGTCTCGTCCCATCCGATTTTTTGAAGTGCAGGACATCAATATAAGTCTTGTACACAGCTTTGACATTGCTCTGTCTCGGGTTAGCTCTTAAGGGCACAGCCCTATATATCCCTGTTACTGTAACCCTGCAAACGACAGACACAATGCTTCATTTATAAATTCTGTATAATTCTAGCCATTTGCAAGTCACAACAGATCGATTTAAACTCGCAACTTCATTCCTAATGGCAACAACCTGTCTCCAGGCCTAGTCATATATACCCTTCTCCCTAATCCTAAAAACTGTTGACACCATGCTCGAGATTAAATTGTGTAGGATTTTAGACATTTGCAATTCATAACAGTTCAGATTAAACTCGCAACTTCATTCTTAATAGCACTAACCTATCTCCAGGTGTAGTTTTGTCAACCAAATCTCCGTGTGCAAATACCAGGACGGTATGTGGTGTCTGTCCAGGTGGCATATCGTCTGCAAGTAAAGAAGAGTATGATTTCTAGTTTTACTTCACCCTAGATTTAACTCTTGAATCTGTTAATATCACACCCGTGTTAACGTTTAAGCAATATGTAATAAATCATTATAACTGCTTTATAACGTACGTGTATCTATCATTATATCTAAATAAACCCAAAAATATTTGACTTTTAATTACCTACTATAGTATACATGCATACTTGTTTAAATTAATGAGTTCACATTTTCCCAATCGTTTTTATATTTTCTCGACCGTTATGATACTTATGGGTACTCCTTGTGTATCACCAAGTATGTATAAGAATTAAGGTTAACATGTCATGGAACACTTGCAAATCATTATATTCACCAATATGTGCACCGGTTTGCATTTCGAATTAGTTCTGTTTACATGATATATCAACATCACTAGCACGTGATTCTCATTCTCATGGCATGCCTTGTACTGGTACCTTGTTTCTACACTATAGTATCTTTGTCTAAATGTCGATAGGAACCAGTCTACAAAAATTTACATCACGTAAACGTGCGCTTGTCTTGTAGTAGCATTTTCATGTTTCATTTTCGCAATTCTCAAGAATGCAGGCTAGTTCAGGAAGTTTACTGTTCATTTGCTGTTTCATAGCCTATATAACAGCACAAACTCGTTAGAATTTTTATACTGAAGTAATCAGTAATATGTGCGCTATCAGTTTGAATAATTTGTCTACGTATATTTATTATCCGATTTATGTGAGGGATGATCTTTTTAATAAGCCTTCATTAATAATGCAATTCATTAAATTGGTTATATAATAGATGCTGTAAAATGTTAGTTGCACACTTGAAATTCCTATTAGTTCAAAACCGAAACGAACCGTTATTTTTAATTAATGGACGAGTAAAACTACAGCTAATAAAGGATGTAAGTTTAAATAATTGAAGACTTTGCATTTGCATATAAAATTGCATTGAGTAATTGCATTTTTTAATAAATTTGTTAATAAATGTTATATAAATTAACATATAAATAAATGTTACATATCTTCACATCTCATTTAGGTTCACAAAATAATCTGGAGTTTTTAGATTTGGTGAGGTTTGATTCAAGATTAACTTGTAAACCTAAGTTTACAAGGCTGCTGACCCCTACCCCCCAAGTACAGTTCTACACAATGGCTGATGAGGTATTCAATTTACGAGGCATATATTTAAACAAAGGGGCCATTCATGTGATTGTTAGCATCACTTTTTCCAATGGCCCCTTTGTTTAAATATGCCTCGTAAATTGAATACCTCATCAGCCATTACACGTACATCACCTAGGTCATCTATTGCTGCCATATGGGAGCATACTACCAAATAACCGATTTTATCGACTATTTTCTAAGAATATTTTGCAGGGATGAAAAAACGCTCACACCATTAGCTGATTGCAACCCAAATGGTAAAATGTGGGATTATTCAGCGACTATTTATTTAAACGGCTGTATAAACTTCTAGTACATGTGGATCCGAAACAGAAAGGTGCTGACACATTGTATGAATATATACTGTTATTAGAAGTCAAGTCCTTTCACCAGAAGCAAAATAATACCATTGACGGCGATTTCTAGTTATTGGCACCACTGTTAGATGTGTTCGAACTTATATGACCACTGACGTATAACCATTGTATTACCTACATTATATTTCAAGATATATTTAGGCGCTTAAGAGCCTACCTGCTGCATCAGAAAATCTACCTTTAATACTAATAGCGGTAATTTAACAGCGGAAATTTTACAACGGATAATTTGGGTAATCCTATTCAATAGCCAAACATCAATAGTTAAACATTGAATTTTATTTTGGTGTGACTTTTTCAGTGGTGTGCGATAGTGACAGCAAAAGTCGATTGTGTCTAAACTGGGAAATACTAACAGGATTCATAAGTATGGCTATAATGCATCACTTTGTAATTTGGACATTGATTCTGGTTTCATACACCCTAATGCAACTCTTGCTATTGTAAATGCAATACTTCTGGCACCTAATGCCTGTACCTTGTACATTACAAGGAAAACAGTTTCAACGGCAGCAGAATAACATCAAGGGGATCACGCGACCTGTAGAGCACCTGTGTGCAACGTCAACCTATTACACCCACCACTTTGTGACAAAATAAGCACAGCAGCATAACTACACGTGCCTTTAACTCGCAACACACAGAACACATGCAAACGTTTGAGCAGGTGCGTCCTACCGGGCGGCCTTCAATTCCAAACGCGCAGAACACATGCGAACGTTTAAGCGACCGAGGATGCCACCTACCGGGTGATTCTTGAAGCTTTATCAGCTGCTTGTCGCTGAAGTGCGAGCGATTGTGCACGAGCGAGAACGATCGGCTCGTGTTGCAGTTGGCGCAGAGCGTCGGCTCGGCGATGCGCCCCCGGTCGATCTCGACGGTGACGGCATTCGAGCAGACGTAGCAGGAGAAGAACGCCTCGCGCATCTCCGGCATGATGTTAGAGCTGCGGATCACCATGCCACAGATGGTGATCAACTGGTCGATGTCTGAGGACGAGGAAAACGTACTGCAACGTGTGCATCAACGTAAATATTATATATATATATATATATATATGTATATATATTATATTATCAACGTATCGTCATATATACGTTATCGTATATAACCACTAGTGTTGTCAATCGGTTGTAATTTCGTAATCGATCATCGGTTGGACCCAAGTAACCGATGATCGGTTACAATCGGTTACTCGGGGTGTTGAATGCCTGCGTGTGCGTAACGTCGTGTGCATGTACGTGTGTGCATGTATGTGCTTGTTTAGCCCTGTTTACTGTTTGTTTTGCACTGTTTACTACTGTGTGTATAATACATGTACTTTTTTTAAATTTTTTTTTTTTTAAGGAAATTTATTATGGATTTTGATAACCAAGCGCTTGGTTCGAGCCACTGTTCAACCGATGATCGAGTATAATCGATGATCGTGACATCACTAAGCGCTTGGTTCGAGCCACTGTTCAACCGATGATCGAGTATAATCGATGATCGTGACATCACTAATAACAACGTAATTGGCACCTCATTTGCAATTCGTTCCGGTAGCGATTTTGATTAGGTATTGGGAATTCCAAACAGAAATTGGCCTAGACATGTTAGATGACCAACAAAGTCGGTCTCAAGGCTGAAACTCCGTCAAAGATCCACCCGTCTTACTGGTATACACGTCAAATTGCATGTATTCAAGTACAAACACACATGCTTACACATCAAATAGGGGTCTAGGGTGCAAAATTAACAGGAGTCCGGAGTCAAATACTCCCTGATTTACTGTCGGACTCCCTGATTTGACATATGCAGGAGTCCGTGTGACTCCCTGAAAATTCTGCCATACTAACTAGTTCGTTCCGAAGCACGGCCTCGCGGAATTACTGTATTTGTTCAGCTAATGTCCAAAGAAAATTTGGCAGACATGAAACTGCATGAATCTTAAAAATAAACACATATGCGTTATTGTTAATATCTTTAATTTTGAACCTCAGACTGTGGCCTCATTTTGCTGCGGACTCCCTCTTTTTGAAGGTATGGAGTCCGTTGGACTCCCTTGTTCAAAAGTTAATTTCTACCCCTGGATGCCCTGCGCTATCGACGTAACTATAATAGGTTCCAATGTTAAATGATCTAAACTCGATCGATCGAACTGGTACTTGATCATTTAGAAAGCATGACATGCTTCATACATCACATCTTAACCAGTAAAATAAACATAGAAGGGGTGTTCTTTAAGTTCATGTATTTACAAGTGGATGCTGATAAATCAGGAACACTCTCTGTACACACGCTACCCACCCACTCCATGTTAATATACAGGTCTAGCAAACAATTGAGTAGAAAGTAACACACCTTCTGGATTCAGCAGACGCATGCTGCGTGTCTTGATGGTGTTGAACGGCCGGACCTGGATCTGGTGCTCCAACGTCGTGTTTGGATAGCGATCAAAAAACAGCTCGTTGACGGCCATGTCGAATGTCGGAATGACCTCCTGCGGGTAGCAGATGAGTTGCCGATACAGGTCGGCGTCAAACTGCCGCAGATGCTCGCAGTCGAAATCCAAGAACGGCTCCTCCAGAAGGTTTATCTGTCGAAGAGATACAGCGTGAGAGATATCCGACCACCTGCAGACATCGTTAGAGCATTGTTATGTTATGTTGTGTGCTCGTTCTTGTCGGTGTCCACTGCACTGGATATATAGTGACAAGGTAGTGAGTGACTTCAGGGATGAACCCAATAACCATTACAGAGATGTGTAGTATCTGCAGACATTACTAGAGTCTTGGAGAAACGAGTTCACCTTCTGAAGGACAGACGCAATTATGAGGGTAAAGCTTTAAATAGATGGTTAAATGTCAAAGTCGATAGGTCTGACAGCCATGCATATAAAAAATATATGATAAAGCTGTCATAAAATAACATTTCAGAGTCGACATTATTGCAACAAGTATTTTGTAATCATAACATACTACAAGGTTAATATCGGAAGAGTTTACAAATGATTATAGTACGATTTACAGCCGATGCATTACCACTCGAAAAAATAACACTTCGTCCTAGAGCTTGGGCATTTAGATATACTTGCAAACAAAAGTTAGTAAAAGTGCAAAGCATCAAATAGATCAGTGTCAGCACGTGGTGACAGCAGACTGACTGCACAGAATTTTGCAGGTAGGTAAGTAGAAAATCCAACTCAAAAGTTAATAAAAGTGCAAAGCAACAAATAGATTGAAAGCACAAATAGATAAGTAAAGAGAATCCAACTCGAAAGTTAGTAAAAGTGCAAAGCAACAAATAGATTGAAAGCAACAAAAAAAGGTAGGTAGGTAGAAAATCCAACTGAAAAGTTAGTAAAAGTGCGAAGCATCAAAGAAATTTGTGCCAGCACGGGATTTTGTGCGGGCACTCTGCCGAGAGGCGTACCTCGTCCAGACGCTGCATGTAGAGCGGCTCGTTGAGATCGATGCCGTCCTCCGGCGGGGCGTCCAGCGCGATGAAGCGCTGCAGCATCTGCAGGAACCTGTTCTTCGCATGACTGACCACCACGTCCGTGCCCCAGATGACCAGCTGCGGACCGCCTCCGTGGTCGCTTGTCGGCGCCCCCGCCGGCTCGGTGCCGTCCTGCAACAAGAGATGCAAAACAATAGAACGCGTAACGAGAGACGCACTACTGCTTATTGCCAGCATTTCACCTTTTAGGAAACGCCATTTTAAGTCACTGTTTTCGCGGAAGATCTCGAGGTCGGTGGCTATTTTTTAATTGCCACACTTTTACCGCCTGTTGCATGAGAGTGAGTGGACAGTCCACTTGTGGTGTTTGCTCATTAATAAAGAGTATTCATACTGTTCGTGCCCGATAATCAGCACACCTCCATCGATAACGGACTACTAATTATAGCAATGGTGTGCGAGACTGAACATGTGTCTGACCTTACCCCTGCGTCGCTGCCGACGTTCACTTGTCTCGGTTTCCGGCCACTGGCGCCGGTCTCGATGTCTGGTCTCTGTCGTCTGGGTGTAGCACTGATGACTTGTTAAGAAAATACCATGGGTGCGGACGAATGCTATTATGTATACATAGGTATGGTCAAAACACACTACAGGGACAATGATCTGCTGTCGCGTACGGTATCAAAATCGCACAGACTGGTCCCAGCGACACTGCAGACATTGTAGGGTACATTACTTTACGGTATCCATCCCAAGCGTTCACATACATATATATATAGATAGATAGATATATAGAGAAAGAATTACAGCTAACAATCTCTTAGGTTAACTACAGACAAGCTCGTTTTTCTCTAAACAAGAGACTTGCTTGTAAGGATACTGTGCTCTCGGTGTAGCACTCATCCTTGAGCTGGGTGTTCCATACTGCAATGGTGAGCTCATGTCGATCTCACTGGTGCCTTACAAATACAAGCAAAACGTCAGAATTCATGTAGAGATATCCAAAAACAAACTTACTCACTTTATAGTGTAGGTAAACAGATCTAGCTACGAGTGGCCTATTAGAAAAACTACTGCCCACATAGCAAGAGTATTTACTGCTAGAATCTGTGTAGGTGCAATCTAGTACATAGTGTCACTACAGCCGTAGTTAGAATCTGTATATAGGTATCATGCCACATTTACCATTCTTTGACGTTGGACTGCTGAACAAAGGACCATCCTGATCCGCCGACGTCGGTGACGGTGGCATGGCGGGTAGACTCTCCCCTCCCGATGACGGTGACGTCGCGCCATTCACATTGGCTTTCCGCGCACTGCGACGTGCTAGAATAACAATGAGCAGTCTGGTTGCAGTGGTTCTTCGGTTATGTTACCGATCAGATTCCTCATGTGTTATTAGAACAATCTGACACATCACGTGATTGCATATCAATAGAGACGTTATATTATTATTATAAATATATATATAATATATATATATATATATATATATATATATGTGTGTGTGTGTGTGTGTGTGTGTGTGTGTGTTATACAGGGATGGGAATGACAATTTGTGTTTTCAGCTGAAAATAGCCGGGGGCCATTGGAGGGGGGGGGAGGAAGGGGTTCAAGAAGTTTTTGAATTTTCACAACTTACAAGGCATAAAATCGCATTAGGAGACACATACAGAACAGAATTATTACAAAGCATATTACACTACACTGCAGAGAGCAGGTTCCCTGTTTCAATCGTTGCGCCCCGTTTAAATTACCTCCGCCCCGATTAAATTCCACCACAATAAAAGTTTGCCAGCGCGGGAATCGATCGTCAAGAAGTACTATTCGACCAGGACACCCGGCGCGTGTATTTTTACAGTACCACGCATGCACTGCAGACAATACAACAGTCAACCTGTCTCACACCTAACACTAACTGTACAACGACTCGGCTATATCTTATATATACAAGAACCCCAAATACCGTCTATGGTGTGGTGGCGATTTTACGCATTAATTAGTGGTACGGTAAAAAGATACGCCCCCTAGTTCCCCCCCTCCCCCTCCCCTCCCCCCTGTTTGAATTTCATCCTGGGGAGAACCCTGGAGAGTATATCTTGCACTGTCATTATCATAACACCAGAATTAATAATCAATACAAAAATTTACTTACATTCTGCAAACGAAATTATTTTAATGTACACTTCAACACTGTCCCAAAGGCTAACCTTTATATAATATAAGATGTTCATTGTCCAGGCAGTTTCAAATTTGTTTCTGGTCACTACAGTAAATATTTTATCATATTGAACAACTTTAGCGGCTTGTCCTGCTGCCAAGGCAAGTCTGTGAGCCCCACAGTGATCAGACATCAGGAAAGGAAACACTTTATTTGCTACGCCAAAGGTTGCCCAAAAATCCTCCCTTGCACGCACGATATAATATTCCTAACACCCTAGGAGCTAGGGCGCGATCGCGTGACATTAATTTTGTTATCGTTTTCAAAGGTCACCGAAAAAGGCATGCAGCTCGCGACACCACCTTTTATGGTTATGTATATATGTATTATAAACAGAACTTCGTTGGCGAGAAGTGAAACAGTTCGTACCTACGTTTCCTACCACGTGAAACAGTTCGTACCTACGTTTCCTACCACGTGAAACAGTTGCAGAGCCTGGGCCGGCTACTTCATAAAACGAGCCTCAAGGCCACGCGTGACGCGGCGGCTTTTGATATACACGATCGATCGATCTATACGGCCTGCGTAGCACGCGCGGCACACATACACACACACTTGCAGCGTCAAATAAACGCACACACTGGCCAACTTCTGGCAATCTCAAACAGTGAACTAAGCCGTGTCTATATTGTAAAGCAAACTATATTACAATGTTATTAAATGAAGGTAGTGTTAGACTGTAAAATAAAAATTTGTACATTCTAACCCCCCTAAAAAATTTTCTCAATGGATTTAGACGTTTCACAAAATCGACCCTGGGACAGTAAAAGATCTCATCCCTGGTTATAACATAACTTACGTGTGACTGGCTCATCCTCTTCGCCCTGTGGCCTCCTCGACTTGCCACGCGGCGTTCGCCTTGAAGGTGAAGACATCGTTCTGGACGACTATTACTCCAAAACACTGCTGCCAAATTAGAGACGATCATTATTATTGATGATTATGAGATTCATGAGATATGCCCAACTCGTATCTATAACATGTGCATGATATTATGTGTAGTTTGTGATCTGTAGTTACTGTGTAGTTTATGTGTAGTGAGTTTTACCACTATAATACTAATAGTATCAACCTAAGCCATACCTAGAAATTAACAAACGAATGTCAATTAGAATTACATTAACCCAATAAACTATAGCAGTGTTTGAAGGTTAACCTACTGATTCCACGGGTACAGTATGTACAGCCTACATGCCACACACCATAAAAAACAACAAACAGTGCACTATTGCCAGTAGTAGTAGTACAGAATCCCCCCCAGACCTGATGCAGTGCCAGTGGGTTGTAGAATATATTGTATAGTCGATTTCGCTAACAAGTTTTAAAAAGCAGTAAGCAGAACGCATTATATTCTGTATTCCTATCTGACATAGATTCTTCTCTGGTTAATTACAAATTTGAAACTTTCCCCACTGCAGTCTGAAGTGTTTATACTTAATCTATTGATTTGATCAAATTTGTCTCTGTAATTTCTGTGGCACAGTGTGTGGGCTATCTTCGAGACAGCCTGTACCGTAGTATTTGGACGCTCGTAGTATTTGGACGCTCCGTAGCCATGCTCTTTTGTTTTCTTTTTGTTTCGCCTTGTAACCTGACACACATAATTCACAGTCTTACTAAATTACTACATATTGCAAATTGTTTCAATCAAATGTTTCCATCAGTGACCGGGAAGTCCGCCATGTTTGTTTATTGCGACCGTTTCGATGGGAAAGCTGCGCAGATGATTACTGTGCATGCTGCGCATGCGCTGTGCCCTTGCAAAACAAGAGGCGCCTGCCCGCATGCGCAAATAGGAGCGTCCAGTTTCGGGCAAGCGTCCAAATACTACGGTACAAGCCTATTGGATTTTCAGGCTTAGCGCTTCAGAAGTTAAGAGGTTACAGATTTGTCTATCTCTGTCTGGGTTACATATATGATCTGAACCCGAATCATGACTACGGTACTGTACCGGGTACAGGCCCGTGATTTACTGATGTGAATTGTGATTACGCCATACATTAGTCATTACTGTCATTAGACTAGTCAATAAGTCATTAACAATAACATTATGTCATTTTATGATTATAATTTATATAATTGTATAAATAATTAAAATATATAAAAACGTGTTCGTGACTATAGTAACACTCTGTGCCAGGAGTGCACTTGACTTACGGTCTAGTACTAGTACTAGTACTAGTACACTTAATAATTTATCAATACAATAATCAATAATCCACAATACCATCATGACAATGTGAATGTCAATGACAGCTAGGCCTAGCTCACAAACTAACAAAAACATCAAGTTCAACGTTGTCTCGGCTTCAGTTAAACCGGATGAACAGGTGGTTTTTGATTAGTAATAATCTCATAATTAGATAGCAAGGCAAAATTTAACAATTGCGTATTTCTATACAAACGTTTAGTTATCAAGCGATCAAATTATTTAGCATCTCACACTAGCCAAGTTTTCACGTCTTGCAAAGTTTTGTTTTGTTACTCACGTGTCTAAAAAGCGCGCGAAATACTGTGAATTCTGGGACGACAGAGTATGTTAATTCATATTTTAAGAACATACACGAACTACTATTGGATTATATTAAATACAGTGAGAAAAATTTATGTGCGTATTTTGATTTAAAAAAAATATATATTACATATGTATATAGAGAGATTAAATTATAAACTAAAGCTCTGTTCTGTTATTACTTACATCCAACATGTCTGCCCCCGTGTGAAGATGGGTGTTTACTTCGGAATTTGTTTTGTCAACGACTGTTATCAATCATAATTCAATGCAGTTTTTAGGTTATAAGAAATTACGTGCCAAAATATGCGCATCACTTGCAACTTTATGAACCAGCGCATATAATTTTTCTTACCCTTATTTTGTTATTGATTGTTGTAGTATCAATATATTATCATCGTCTTGTAAGTTGTATTTTCTGGGCACCTTGAGGTTGACATTGCCATTGCCATCGCCACATTTTTTACCCTACGCTACTGTTTACATTTTCGGCTATCAAGAAAGTACGTATCACTAAAATTATACGCGTATTTACGGCAATTATCTGTAAACTTTAGTCATTCATCCTTCTAATTTCTATAAATAATGTCAGTGACACAGAGTTGATTACATCATAAATGACATAATCACACCTGAGCAGTAGCCTGCTGACAGTGACAGTGCTGTTAATAATTATAATAATGTGTTATAACTTATATAAAGCACTCTTCACATGTACTATTTCTAAGAATAATAGTGACTATCTGGTAGATGTTACATGCAAATCATGTCAATTTGGGATCATTTGCATGAAGTACTTTCCTTATAATATATATGTTGAATATCTTATATCTGACTTTATATCACTTTCCTTTACAGCTGAACACCCAGCACGATGCTCTTGCGACTATTTCGCAGGTTTACCCTGCATCCAAACCTTTCTTTGCATCTACCGAGGAATTCCCAGTCTGTCTGCGTAGTGTGCAACAACAAGTTTGGCCTGAGATCACTGTACAGTAGCAAGCAGTTCAGATCACCACTAAACAACAATTCTGATTCTCGCGATGAGCCCCAAGGTGGTGAAACGCAACCTCAAGAACAATCGCCCGCTAAGGTTGACGTAAAAGGTCTCCTGGATGATGCAGTAGTTGGTGAACATGAGGCGAGCCACCCATCCGATGCATGGACTCAGTCCCTTTATCCAGACACGACCAACCCAAAGCAGAGTCAGGCTGCGAAATCATATAGACCTAATGTCGACCCTTGCGAGACATCGATATTTCTTTTTCCTGGCCAGGGTAGTCAGTTTGTTGGCATGGCGAACGGTGTACTTGAGTACCCAAATACGTTGGAACTATTCAAGGTCGCTAGCGACATACTAAAGTTCGACTTGCTCAATCTGGTCTCTGAGGGTCCAAAGTCACAACTGGACAAGACTGTTAACTGTCAGCCAGCATTGTTGGTGACTTCCCTGGCTGCTGTGGAGAAACTTCGGTGTACAAATCCTAAGGTAATAGCCATTGCTAACTGACCTATCCACCTGACATGATTGATGTGCAGCTCTACTATTTAGTGTTGCAACAGGATGTTCGAAAACAGTGCTTAGTTAGCTTCAAAGTCGACATTTTTGCAACAATATTTGAGACCTGTTGTTATCTGACTCAGCCTGACAGGTGAATCCTTCACTTTTTTCCATCGTGGTGGTATGCCTACATATTGAGACTTGGGTAGCGCTATAGAATAGCCAGAGTTTAACACGGAGTCACCTGACCTTGAAGACCTATTGTGGTGTTCCAATATGGTAGGCACGAGATCTTTACACTGTTCTCTTTGATGGCATAACCGGATCTGACTTTAATAACTAAATAATAGACATGATTTGCCATTGAGAGATTATACAGCAAAGGACCACATAGAAATATCTGTGAAATGCCAGTGCAATGTTTTTCTCTCGGGTGCTTACTAATAATAGTGTCAATTGACCAGTATGTTAGTGGTTCATGTTAATTTTCCTATAATAATTAAATTTAATGTATGTATGTATGTTAATTAAACCTAAATAAGGGACGAACTTTAACTAATCCGCAATTAACAATTAATAATATATATTTAGGTGAAATGCAGGTTGCATAGCAGCGTCACTGTAATAGAGTGCTCATAGATAAGCAAAATAGTTGATGTGTGATATATGCTGTCATCTCCTTGTCCATGCTTCTCAAATGCATCAAATAACCATGGCTAGCTCTTCGTGCAAGTAACCAAACATTTTCACTAGCCCATTAGTAAGCTAGCCATTCGAATTAGTTCATAGCTAGTTGTTCATGCCAGTAAATAAGAATGTTCACTTGCTTATCCTTATTTTATCTCGGGTAACACTGTTGTGTAGTTGTGTTTACCAGGTTTTTCTTTATCTAGGCCATTGAGCAATGTATCACAGCAGCTGGCTTCAGTGTTGGAGAATATGCAGCATTGGTCTTTGCTGGTGCTATCAGTTTTGAAGATGGTAAATTTATTTCTTTGTTGAGAGTTGCACATTTACTCCTTTAAAAGATGCATATAGTTTAGTAGGTAGCATATCCATAGTGATTCTTGTCAGAGAGTCTTCTCAGTCTTAGTCATGATTTTTTGTCATAGACTACTCACAGAAAGATTGTAGCAGTATTACAATAATAAATCCTAGCACATTTTTTCACGAGTCCGATGACCCTGATATGAATTAGAAAATCATCTACTTACAGAGTAATGTTTTTAGTTTTCTGTAGAATGATGTATCGATGATTATAAGCAGATACAGTAAAACTTTTGGAAATAATAAAAACGTTTTTTATAGACGGGTGTTCATTATCTAGAGATAATCACTACTACAGGTTTGACTATAATATTATATAAATTTATAATTATTGTGTTAAATTATTTTTCCAGCACTCAGAATTGTAAGTCTACGCGCCCAAGCAATGCAGGAGGCATCAGAAGCGACACCTAGTGGCATGTACTCTGTGTTCGTCAGTTCGCAGTCACGACTGGGTCTGGCATGTGAGCTTGCAAGGGATTGGTGCAAGAAACATGGCATTGTAAAGCCAGAATGTGGCATTGCCAACTACATGTACCCAGGCTGTAAAGTTGTTGCAGGACATGACGAGGTAAAACTCACATGCCAGAGGGACTGCGAAGTAGAGAGAACGAAAAGATAGAGAGAGTGAAGGGAATAGAGTGAGTGAGAGACACCGAGAGAGAGAGAGAGAGAGAGAGAGAGAGAGAGAGAGAGAGAGAAGAGAGAGAGAGAGAGAGAGAGAGAGAGAGAGAGAGAGAGAGAGGAGAGACTTCTATACTCTTCTAACAAATTTATAATCTGTTGTTATATAACTGAACACTTTTTATCTGCCATTCCAGTATCGAGCAAATCCAATTAATCAGCACAATTCGTTGGATAATTTAAAGAGGCTTGGCTTAGTGCATTTCTCTGTAACCTTTGATTACTTTTTCATAGGCATTGAAGTTCATCTTGCTTAACAAGGAAGAGTTTGGGCTTCTGCGGATGAGGCGGCTGCCAGTAAGTGGAGCCTTCCACACACCTCTTATGGGGGAAGTTATTGGTCCGCTGCGTGATGCACTCAAACAGATCGAAATCAGGGCACCACTAATCCATGTGCACTCCAACGTGGATGGTATGCGCTACAGGAACCCTGAGCACATCCGCAAGCAACTGGTAAAACAGGTACAGAATATCCAAATGAGTAGTGGTGAGATAGAAAGAAGAGATAGGGAGCGAGTGAGAGAAGAGAGAGAGAGAGAAAGTAGGAGAGAGAGAGAGGGAGAGCAAGAGGGAGAGAGTGTGTGTGTGTGTGTGTGTTTGTGTGTGTGTGTTAGAGAGAGAGAGAGAGATAAAGATAGGGATAGAGAGAGACCTTTAGACTCTCACTGCTGTGTTCTCCCTGTGTAGGTGCTTAAGCCAGTCAAGTGGGAGCAGACGATGCATGCTATCTATGAGCGAAAGCCAGATGTACTGTTCCCGCGCACGTATGAGGTTGGGCCAGGCAAGCAGCTCACCACTATCCTAAAGATGGTGAACCGCAAGGCAGCAGACATCTGCACACCCGTGCTGTAAGTGAATATAGCCCTCTTGCCAGTTGCGCTGATGTATTCAGTTGATGTATAAAGTAAAATGATGACTGTGGGTCTATAACGAAGAGCGGGAAGAAGAGGAGTAGAGCAAATTATGCAAAAATAAACACTAAACATTTAAAAAAAATAGGTGATTCGTGGGAATTATACTGGTGAAATTTTGAAATATTTTTTTAATAATTGTTCTGATGGATTCTGAGCAGATAAATCAATGCTGTAAACATGTTATTTCTTATGTAGTTTTTTGATAATTTTTTACGATTAGGAATCACTTCAACTTTTGTAGCAAATATACAGTATTTATAGATAAATATTATTTGTGAACATGACCATGTCTAGTTTATTGTGTAGGTTTTTCTGTGACACAAAGTAAAAATATAAAACAAACAAAAAGTATTGCCAAAAAATTGTTTTGTTGTCTTTTGTTTTGTATTCTATATTTCAAAGTACAGACATATTATGTCAGGGTCATATCTAGTAAAGGTGGGGTACAGTGTGAAGTACTGGCACAAAACATTTACCATATAAACATCATTCGTGTCCTTTAATTGCTTGAATTTTATGCTTATGGACTGTTTTAAGTTGACTGATATTTTACTTGCAATTATTAGAGCAGCGTAAGACGGGTTCTATGAAATAGACACATGTGTTGAGTTTATTTATTCACAGATATTAACGAGTCGCCATGAGGTTAATGCACGCTGAGTGGGACATTCATATTTCGCGATTACACAAGAGGGCGCCACTATCTGCAGTATGGGATCGAGTGATTACAGTACCTCCACGTTTATCGCACGCGTGTTGAGAGTTTTCAGCGCCTAATTTACAGAATGAGATGCGCCGGTTTCTCACTGACGTCATTTACGACTTTGCCGAAAACAATGCGCCATATTATCCATTAAATTCACTCGCACGCAGGTAATCTCATAGTGGACGAAGAAAGGCGGTGGTGGGGTCCATTGACCTCAGGTCTAAAATTGCATGTGGCAAAAATGCGTGCATATTAAATTTTAAAATGACAGAACGTGATCACATACAAATGGTAGGCTAATGTGATTAGTGTACGTGTACCTGCTTACGGTAGAAAAGACATCATTCTCTTTTATAATGCCATATGCATTTTTGCAGCTATGTGTTAATAAAACGCAGGGCACAGAAAACTATTGTCCCTTAAACAAGTAAAGATAAAAGCTGTACCTCCAGGATCTAACTACACCCTAGCATCTATTATTTTACAAGCAGTTGAGGGAGAAGTGATTCGGAAGTGTACCCCGTTACCAGTCAGTGGTCAATCGAGGTAGAGACCTCAGTGGGAAAGAGGGTGGCAGATGGCGGAGAGACGGTTTATAGAACGGTAGAGTGGTGTAAGAGGGAGGTGAGGCGAAGCTGGTCGTAGAAGAGAAGGAGAGGAAAGAGGGAAATATGGAAGGAGCAGGAGGGAAATGTGGGAGAGTAGACGTGGTAGCGGTATACTAAGAAGAGAAAAATAGTCGTTAGTAGGCGAAGTGGAGGGGAGGGAAGGGAAGACTGAATCAGCTGAGATGTAGGATGAAAATATAACATAATGGAGAAGGGAAGGCAGAAGTGGTGGGAGGAAGGATGATGTGAAATGGAGCTTTTTGAACACGGAGTAGAGGGAGGATCTGTTTGTAGAGGAGCGATAGGAAGTAAAAGAGAAAGCTCAGATTGAAGTTGCAAATGAGGAAGTGGAGGAATGGGTAGTATCGTAGAAGACATGTGGATGAAGAAAGTGTAAGGGTGGTAAGGGATGCGAAAGGGAGGAAAGGACTTAAGACAGAGGGGAAATAAACGAGGTAGAAGCAGAGGACGGTGAAGAAGGAGACAAATGAAAAGCAGAGAGAACTCGCAGAGCGGAAGTGAAATACGAGGTAAAATCTTGCGGGTGAAGTTAATAATGAGCAACGTCCATGGAATAGATGGGAGAGATGGAATAGATGTTGCTACCTGTTACGCGTGGCTGCGCGAGCGCGCGGATGTGGGTGTAATCAATGGGTTATACACCGTCTCTGTGGATATGCTGTACTAATACAATAAATTGCACTTGACTTGTGTTGTGTGAGCGCTCACTAATTTATATCGTAAAATAAATATAAACTCCGACAACGAATGCTTTCCCCGAAGCATAGTTTATTTTATAAGTGGCACGCCTTTTAATCGGACCCGGTAGCAGAAAAACACGGTCACTCGTTTACTAATTTAACAGTTTTATAAATATTTTATATTTGAAGGCGTAATCGCGCGACGAAAGTGCGCGTAAGCAACAAGCCGGTTACTGAAATAATGATTCGATGAAAAAGTTTGCCAATTACGAATTAATCGCTGGTAATTTTGCGATAACGTTCATCCATAATTCTAACGAAGTCGCTCGCTTGAAAGAGTGTTGCTGTTCGAGGACGAAGATTGTACGATCGCCATGCGTGCGTGAGTGGGCACTCGGCTCTATATAACAACAAGTGAGTGGTATACGGCCAATGTTTCCAAGCAGCGGCCAGTAACCATATAGTATGTGGTCTATATCCGCAATCGGTTGTCGTAACCGGGAGTGGTGGCCAAAGTCCGCAAACAGTTGTGAAGAGAATAAATAGTTATCCGTATATGAGGCTATCGTGATCAAGATCGGTGAACAGTTGGCAGTGCAGATATGCTGTTGTCACAACCTTCCAACGAGTAGTGTGGTCAGGATTGAATTGGTGAGTATAAAAAGCATTGCTTGTATTGTTGTCAATAATTTTATCAATATTATGGAAAGTATGTAAGAGTTCGTTTGTTTCAAATTATCATATATTTTAATTTATATGGCAGTTATGCCCGCCGTGGGAGTGTACTTGTGTGTAATCTCCGTCGGCTGTCGGATTTGATTTTTTAATTCAGGCCCAGTACTGACTTTGTAATCACGTGTTAAATAATACCAGCCGCGTAATATTGAATATTAAGCATAAAATGCTAAAAAAATCGAACGAATCTACTATAAATTGACTTGGAAGTACAAATGTAATTTAGTCTGTTGTTATAAATAAAAGAGTATACACATCGTCCCACGTGCACTAATATAAAAGGATAAATCTGGAAATTACATTGCCTGTGTTTGAGGCATGCACTGACATTATATACTATACATATTGATTATTACTTGCGTATACTATTGGCGGCATTTCAATCATAAGTTGAAACCTCCCACAAAAAAAAGTAAAAAAAAATTCTGTGATCCGTGCCGTACACTGTTATCCTTTTGGACATCGCGGTTATAAGGGATATTCTTTAAGATTAGGCGTGTCTTGCATGTCTGCATCAGTGTTCAGATTGCTGTGTATGCCACGCACGTTGCTCTGGGCCTAGGTTTTCATAATATGGTACATAACAACGCGGCTCGTATGAGTGGCCGAAAACGGCCCGCGTAACTTGCAATGAGGCGGGGCCAAAGTAACTTGCAATGATGCGGTAATACCAGCATAGCTCTTCGGTCTGGTGATCACACACACGCGCGCATACCTTGGTTGTTGGCATACATACACGCATGTCTTTACTGACCTACATTCTATTACTCCCCTCAGGTATCAGCCTCGAATGCGTTACTGAAGTTGTAGGAGACCGCAGACTCGACGACCTGCTAACTAGACGAACGCACCGTTACGATTCTGGCGGACATCTTTCGTGTGAAATTTCGCTCTTCGTACCGATGTTGGAGCAGTGTGTACAGCGTACGTGCAGGCGCGTCGCCACGGGTTAGCCCGCAGTTACGGTAAGTCGTCGTCACAGTGTCGTTGTCAATCTACGTTGTGGTACGGCGGAGGTCTCCCTCGTTGATTGCAGTGTAGTTCTCTAGGGTACGTAGGCAGTCACCCCCGTTAACCCGTAAGATGTCGAGCTATAGTCAGCGACGGCACATAAGCTTGCCTTGGTCACGCGTACTCCAACACACACACACACACACACACATACACACACACACACACACACACACACACACACACACACACACACACACACACACATACACACACACGCCCCGCAGATATACGTAATGTACTCAAACATTATGATATACGGTGACGCTGCCTGTCGGCGCAAAATCGAAACCAAAATATCTACAATTTTGAGGCCGTGAGTTAGTCGAATAGTCGGTTCATCTTCGTATTTCCAACAACATTTTGCATAGAAAACCATGCAGCCATGCAGTATCGCCTCGCTTACCGCCAGGAGGCGCGATCGCCAAAGCAGGATGACAGATCATCGGTCTACTGCCTTCAAACAATTACGATGTTGCTGTTTTTCCTTTTTTTTATTCCAGCGAAGAAAACATCTCGTTCTACACCAAAATCTGTCACATTGGCGTAAGAGCCTCGCATTCAGTAACGCAGAGAGAGAGAGAGAGAGAGAGAGAGAGAG